TTTTTTGAGACAAGCCCTGGCTGTCCTGGAACTCACTCGGTAGACCAGGCTGGTCTCAAACTCACAGGGATCTGCCTGCCTCCCGAGTGCTGGGATGTGGGTACTGGTTTTCAGGTTCCTCATGGCTTTACCCAGCAGGTCTTCATAGAGAGGATGATTAGGACCAGGGGGCCTGAGTGCAGGTGTCTGAGATGGTCTGCACTTGGCTGTGCTGGGGCGGGGGTGGGGTGGGGTGTCTTTTGCTCCACCCCTTGGTATTTCTATAAATACCCTGGGCCAGAGACAGTCAGGGCTCGTTGGAAAAGGTTCCAGGCTCTCTGGAGGCTATCCTGTATTTTCTATTCTAAATCCTTCTATCTAATATTTCCTGCTTACACTCAAGAAAACTCTGGGAACTGTGGGGTTGGTGGGTAACCCCCACACACACACTGGGATTAAAGGTGTGTGCCACACCGACCAGCTGAGAATGCTCTGGAGACTGGCTTCTCTATCCACGGCACAGCTGTTGACGGAAGGAAAATAGAGAGGCATAGGAAATAGGACCCTGGGTCCGGGCAGCCAAAGCAAAGTTTAAAGCTCAACTCTGGGGCTGGAGAAGTGGCTCAGTGGTTAAGAGCACTGGCTGCTCTTCCAGAGGTCCTGAGTTCAATTTCCAGCAACCATATGGTGGCTCACAATCATCTGTAATGGGATCCAATTCCCTCTTCTGGTGTGGATGAAGACAGGTCATTTATATACATAAGTATTTTTTTAAAAAAAAGCTCAACTCTGATGGCCACTGAGTTGTGAGACCAGCCTCAGTTTCCCTGTCTGTCACATGCAAATACTACTACTTACTTCAGCCTTCTGCACAGGGCACAAAATCAATACAGTTGGTTCCCGTCTCTGCCAGGGAGCCAGGTCACCCTATTCCTGCTGCCTGGGTTTTACCCCAAAGCTATTAACCTTGTGTACATACCCTCCACATACCAGGCATGCCTAAACCCACAGTGTCAGGGACTCCTTGTTACCACTGGGAAAGCTGAAATGCAGGGAGGTGACCAGGATTGGCAGAAGGTGGCAGCAGAAGTGGACCCAGAGCCCAGGGTCTAGGGGCACCAGGGCAGCAGGTGGCTGGAGCACAGGCCAGCGCTTCAAGGGTCTGGGGTGGGACAGGAGGCTAGGCTGTGCTCCTGTCCCACCATCACCCAGGTCACAGGCAGAAGACTTCGGTGAGTCCTTTCAGACCCTCGACTGGGAGCCAGTCTGGATACACGGTCTCTTCGTGTCCTGAGCATTCGGCTCCCTCTCCTGTACCCGGCATCTCAGGCGGCAGCAGATTAAAGCTGTTCACGGGGGTGGGGGGGTGGGTGATCATGAGGACCTCCTCCCCACTCTCCCCACCCCCACCCCGTCACTCGGGGCCTGTAATCAATGAGACGGAAAATGAGAAAGTGTCAGGAGCTAGCAATGCATGGAGAGCAGCTGGGGCAGGCCCCGCAGCGTGCCTGAGTGGGTGGACCCCCAGCCCTCCACCCCCAGCTCTAATGCCAAACCAGCCATTTCTGCCATCCGCTAAGTGCCCAGCCGGGCCAGGCTCCCAGCTGGATGTCCGTCAGTGAGAAGGCCTACCGTCAACATGTCCATAAACCTCATCTTGAAAAATGTCATGAAACCCGTGTGTGTTGCTGCAGGAAAATGTGTCCAGGACACATGTCAAAGCAGCTGACACCATGGTGCCTAGAAAGGATCCCATTGATGTTATTATGTAGATATTGGTATACGCACACAAGGGGGACTGAGTAGCAGTTTCTCCTGGGAGTAAGTACAGAAAACACTTCCCCTGTGTTGAACCCCAGTAAAAATTAACTTTAGGATGAAGTATTTCCCTTATGGGGTGAAAGGCTCACAGAAACATGAATGGGCCAATGAAAATGACCAGGGACTGGGCTTTGGGCTGAAACTATATCAACCCAGGGAAGACGGGCCAGCTAACTTCTGCTGCTCCCAAGCACAGGTCTAAAACCAAAGTGTAAAGAGTTTGCTTTTTTAAGAGCTAGCAGGATATGGTGGCTCAAGACTATAATCCTAGCACTTGGGAGGCAGAGACAGGATTAAGAGTTCAAGGTCAGCTATACAAGTTGAGACACCCCGCCG